CTACCACCTCTGACTAGCCCCACCCCCACCTATTCTCTGCCTCCCCAGTCCCAGCTGATTGGGAGGAAATGGGCGATTTTGCAGTAACTTTCCCCTGGAGTGGGGTGGGAATGGAGATTTTGCAGTATCCTTCCCCTGCCATGCCCACTAAGCCACACCATGTCCTCTAAGCCATGCCCACAGAACTGGTAGTAAAAAAAATTGAATCCCACCACTGCAGCCTACATGTAACTTGTGATCCAAGATTTGAAGACGAGATTCAGTTTAAACCACTCAGAGATAGTTTGAAAAGAAGATTTGATGAGAAGCTATCATGGAAGCCATTCTTTTGGCAGAACAGGATGAAAACCGTCAAGCTTTCAGAGCACATTGTGAAATTTCAGCCAGAGAACTCCATTATTATTATTTTAAAAAAGAATAATGCACCTGCACTCTTTTAAAGCAGAGATAGGGAAAGGAAATACAGCAAAAAATGTTTTATTAAAGCTTAACAATAACATGTTCAGAAACTGTTTAAAAAGTAAGCTCTTACTAAACCAATTATCAGTTTTTCTGGGTAGTTACAATGGTTGATTGGCATGGAATTGTTTGTGCAAACAATGTATATAATAATATCCCATGATATAAATAGAAATATGTATTATATGCAATAGTTTAACCTCAAACCACAGTATGTGAAACCTACTTACAATGCAAAACCATTTGACCTTCTTGTCTGAAAACAAACTGCCTGAACAAATTCTAGCAGAGGTGTGAGAACATATTCAGCAATGCAGCAATAGCAACAGGACAGTTAAAAACCAGGCTTTCTTCTCTTGCATGCATTCATTTTCAACCTGTGTGGAATATTGGAAACTGTCCCATACATTATGGGTTTGGTCATGGATGTATTTAGAGATGCTTCTGCCTAACTACATCTCAACAAAGAATCTTGGCAGGACTTCTTGAGTACTGAGATGATGTTGGAAGCCACACTTCTGTTTTTGAGCATTGCAGTGTGGGAGATGTGGTTTATGGAATGGTTAACCCTTGCTTGTCTAAAATTTCAGATAGGATTACCATTTTATAATTTCTCAACTTAAGTTTCTAAAAAAGTTTCTTTAAAACATGTGGGTTAGATAGGAACATTAGTTTGCGCTCCAGATTTCACCTTTTTTAAAATGGAAGCTAACTAATATGTTATTTAAAGTTTACTTGAAATCAGAAAACAAAAACAAAAATCAAACCTGTAGAATAGAATATGGGAAAAAACAGGTCATCAAAGAAGAGATATAGGTAGTCCAGAACTTTAAAGAGCTATCAGGAAAATTAAAACTCAGAATGAACTGACTTTTAATAAAGAATAACAAAGGGCTTCTTAAGATATTTCCAGAAATAAAACGAACAGAGAGTGTATCAGTTATTCAGTGGAAATCTCAAAATGCTAATACATAATTTGCAATCACTGCAAATGAGTCCAATTTTGACTCAATCAACTGCTGCATCCTTTGATATCAAATTGTAGAAAATAAACTTCAACTCATTCATTCCAAGTCAAATTGGTATATCGTTTTGATTAACTGCCATGATAAAAATTTTTAAATTCATATATAACATATAGAAGAAATGAGATGTCCTCAAATCCCCCTTGAAAATATTTTCTCACCAATAAGAAACTTTGTTACCTGCTCCCAATAACATTTTTAAACTGTGGTGTTATAAAATAGCAACCTATTTCTCCAAAATTCATTATAGTATGAATCTCTTCATTATTATTACTAGCCTATTTAACAGAAAAAAGCAACCCAAAAGATGGGCAATTAGATCCCAAATGCCCCCAAAAGTGTGCAATTGTAACTATTTTTGTTGTCAATAAATTTCTTTCCACTAGTGGTCTGATAGTTATAGGTAGTAATTGTATTGCCAGACTATTCCTGCTAAATTCTCTAATAGCTCCAAATAGACTGGATCAGTTACTAGAAGAAATCTTGTCTTCTATCTACACCCGATTCAATTGTGTAATTTCCCGTTATCTTCCTCTCCAACTCCCATAATAGTCTTATCACTAAAATCATGGGAACCCACTATT